TCTAATCCTCATTCATTTTCATCTGAACTGTGTTGTATGCTTGTGAATAGGTTTTGGACTTTGTCTTACATGTTCTCAATAACAGGGAAAGAAGAACAGGAAATTATTCTGGGTGCCTGCAATTGCCCCTTTGATATCTGTCATTCTCTCCACCTTTTTTGTGTATATAACTCGTGCAGACAAGGAAGGAGTTCAGATTGTAAGCTCTCTTATCTTTATCTTTCTTGGTGTCCCTTATGACAAGACTAGCATGCCCAATTATAGTCTCAGCAATATAGAAATTATTATAACTAATTGGTGCTAGTCATAGCAGCAGTGGCAATTCTAACAGCTCTATTTCTATCAATGTGTGAAGGTGAAACATATAGAGAGAGGAATTAACCGGCCGTCAGTAGATAAAATCTTCTTCACTGGTCCATATGTTCTAAAAGGTTTTAAGATTGGCGCAATTGCTGGTATGATAGGGTTGACGGTAAGCAAACTTGTCAACATTACTTTCTCTTAGCAAGAGAAGTATATAATATCATTAGTTACTATATCCAAGTTTACAATCTTCACATTTCATTTTTTGTTATTTGTTGCATGTATCAGGAAGCTGTAGCGATTGGAAGGACATTTGCTTCTATGAAGGACTATCAATTGGATGGCAACAAAGAAATGGTGGCACTAGGAGCAATGAATGTTGTTGGTTCAATGACTTCCTGTTATGTTGCCACAGGTGATTTAGAATACATGTTAATTTGTATTACGCTACCTATTTCCAATAACAGCTCATGGTAATGACATAACAAAAGCCTACATGATACTTGATATATATCTAGAGCTTCACATACTAATGACAGGTTGGAAATAACTAATAGTTTATAATTGATGTTTTTTGCTGATTACTTTACAGGTTCATTTTCTAGATCTGCGGTAAATTACATGGCTGGTTGTCAAACGGCACTTTCTAATGTTATCATGTCTTGTGTTGTATTTCTAACCTTGAAATTCATCACACCTCTTTTTAAGTACACACCAAATGCTATTCTCGCTGCCATTATTATATCAGCTGTTGTTGGCCTAATTGACGTTCAGGCTGCAATTTTGATATGGAAGATTGATAAGTTTGATTTTGTTGCTTGTATGGGAGCCTTCTTTGGAGTAGTTTTTGCATCTGTTGAGATAGGCCTCTTAATCGCAGTAAGAACCTAGATGTTCACTATCTAAAATCCCCATTCTCAATCATTTCTGGCTACCATGGTGGATTTAAATCTTTTGTGGCTCATCTTTTTGGCAGGTCTCAATATCCTTTGCTAAAATCCTCTTGCAAGTTACTCGACCTAGAACTGCGGTCCTCGGAAAGATACCCAGGACAAACGTGTACAGAAATATTCTACAGTATCCCGAAGCAGTTAACGTTCCAGGTGTTCTAATTGTGAGAGTGGATTCTGCAATTTATTTCTCCAACTCTAACTATGTTAAGGAGAGGTATAGATCTTTCTTGACATTTCTTTATACTTAAGCCACGCTGTTCTTTTGAAATGAAGAAATCCTGATCATCCTAAACTGAACAGAAATCAAACAGCCAAGTTACATCTAGAAGTAACATC